AGTGCATTCTCCAAATCAGTGGCTGCATACCCTTATGTTGAAGACTTGTTAGTCTGCTCTAGCAGTGAAACCACATCTGGCGAAACAGTTGGTGCTACTAATTGGTTAAGTCTGCAGTAGCCTACAGTCTTTCTCCAAGATACACCTAGTTTATACAGGGGTCAGACTGGCAAATTAAACAGAGCTATGTTAGGCCCTCTTCCTTGGGATAACAAATTGTTCTTGTTTTACAATTTTGGCCCTGGGTGGGGAAGGCACAATTTCTCACATTTCCATTAGGTTTTCTGCACCATGATAGCTTTTACTTCAGAGATGAGGGCCCAATGTGGGGTTAACTTCAACTGCCAAGTATATCTACTTCAATTACTCAGGGACTGGAAAAATTATCACTGTGGGAGTAGGGGAGTCCATGGGCACATTGGGTCCAATGTGATTTGGACTTCAAGCACAGATTGCCATTCTGGGGATCAATGTCAACTCAGACCTCGAAATGTCTGGTTATTTCCTTTCCCACAGTGTACAGTCACCTGTAAAAGTGGTCAGAGGTCTCTTCAGGGGAAGACTGGAGATATTGTCATGATACGTACTTGGACTGATGTTGTGGGGTCCTTCCTTTTAGGAACCCAGCCACTTCTTTGGTCTATGATTTCTGGATCTGAAAATTGGTTCAGGTCTGGGAAATGAGCAAACAACTATGTTTTCTATTGGGTTAACTGTCCTCAGCCTCTGCTCCTCCATTCTTAATTTTTTTAAATTATAACTGTTGAACAGCACCATCATGAATTGGCTTGGTAGCCAGGATTGGAGGTGGGGCAGCTCCTGAGGCGGGGGAGAACTGGTTGCCTTGCTGGAGAGAGGCCTGTCGAGCAGCTTCCAGGACAGTGAGTGCTCTAGCCCTTACTAGAGCTAGAGGTGGGCCACCTCTGCCCATCCAGAGGGTCCAGGTGGAGTTGTAGAGCTGACATCATCACAAGCATCCATCCAGCTGTCCTGTCACAGTTTCAGGATCCTTGGTTATCCCCATCAGGGCCCTGCCCTTCACATAACAGGCCTGCTTGGACTGGGTATTCAAATGCCTCTGGAGCTCTGCAACCCTCACAATCGGGTCTTCAGCCTCGCTGTTCTATTGTGGCTGCCCTTTCACTACTGGTATAGACGGCCTCTTTAGAAGCTACCACAAAGGCTCTCTGCTTTTCACTCTTAGATATTAAGTGCTTGCTAACTATTCTCAGCCGCTCATTATCCTTATGAAGGATGACAATACAATTTGGCAATAATCCCATATTTTCCAAATGCCTGCATCATGGCTTCTTCCACAGTATTTCCCTTCATGAGAACATTTTCCAAGGTCACCATCAGTGAAATCTTTAGCAACTCAACAGCCACACTGAGCCAGGATCTACTGGTGCCACATCTACTAATCAGGACAGCCCCTACTGCCTGCTACATAGTGAGCCAGTGCCAAATCCCATCTAACCTCCTGTTTTCTCATATAACTCCCAGTACCTCTAGATGTAGATGTGGTCTTCTGAGAAGCAGATAACAAGATGGGGTTAAATGTGAAAAGATTCTATTATTAGAAATGTCTGTGTGAAAGGAAACAGGGAAGGAACAGGAGAGGGCTGGGAAAGTAGTCAACTGTAATGCAAGTCTGACCCCCAGTGAAGGGGAGAGGGAGAGAAGGTCCTGGAAGTGGAAGCATCCCAGGCTGGCATGCAGCCTAAGGAAAGTCTGGCAAAGCCAGCAGGGAATCCTTAAGCCAAAGTCACTGACAGTGGGGTCCCATGTTTCCTAGGAATAGGTCTGCCTTGGTATCCCCACTGCACCTGATCATGGGCCTGGAACAGCCTATGGGAGGTGTGGTCTTGATGAAAAGCAGTGATGGATTTCGAGCCCAACACCAAGGGTCCTCAGTCAGTTAACCTTCCTGTCCTGGGAAGTCTGTGAGGTGCATTCTCTGAGTGGACAGTCTGACTGCTTTTCTTAAGGGCATTTCAGTTTTTCAAATGAAGAATCCTCCAATCTCCTACTCTTTGAGGGTTAATCCTAGCTGCTGGTTTTCTGGGAGTAGGGCAAGGTGGGGAGAGCTGAGAGTTCCATTATCCAGATCACATATTTTCATTTAATTATATCATTTTAGACCTGTATCTCACTCTCACCCTCATCTGTGCCTGAAGGCCCAAAGTCCAAAGCTACTGCAGCTTAATTTTTTTCCAGAAAATAGACGACTGACTGAAGGAGAGTATCCTGGCACATGGGGTGGCAGAGGGGTCCCAGTAACTAACTGCTCCATGTACGTATATATGTTCAATTAATCTCTCAGTTTCCAGCTCCATCCTCACCTCCACCTTCTTCAGCACCTGGTGCTGCCAAGTTCTAAGGCACTAAGTGGGTCTGAAGAGTGACTGTTCTAAT